AAACACTTACCAAAGTGTGAGCAAAACACACTAAACTCATCAGGTGTTTGTCATATGTAAGTGAAAATTCAATTCGTCCTATTTACACAGCCTCCTGGATGTCAATAGGTGTTGTTTTGGTGTCGCTGTGTTATTTTGTGACCTTGACCTTTTGACAGAATATCGGTGCCGTGTGCTACATTCATTGGCTGCAATAACTGCTCTGCCTCTTTGACCCATAGAGCTCACGATAGCGTTTGTCGACCTGGGATCTGTAACTGTAACCCCACCCGGCCGATGGCTGCAGCCAATTGTGGAGTTGTCCGTGGTCGTAGTTGCGGTTGGTTGAGCTGCGTCTGGCTTGCGTCAGAAAAGGGCTCGTGGGTTAACGAGCCAGGTGGGGCAAAAAAACTGACGTCGTTCTGCCACAGAAACTGCTGCTGTTACACTGGCAGTATAAAGTCCCGCATTGTCTTGCTAAGAAAAAGAATTTTGGATGGTTCCGGGTGGGGGGGGGGGCGCTACATGAGGATAAAGAACTTAGGGGATGTAGCGCTGAGCTGCGACCCCATTTCCTTGCCCCAGACCCATGTTCTAGAAAAGCACATTAAGGGCAATTGTTCCCAAAATCATGACGCTTGCAACTCCCCAAGAGTTTCTCTCCACGATGTTAGCATTAATTACCTTCCGGCCTCAAAGTCCCTGTAGAGCTTGTTCTTTTTTTACTTTTACACAGGATCAAAAGGTTTGTTGTTGTTTTTCTTTTTCTTCAAAAGCAAGGAAACTGAACACCCTTAAAGGTGACACCAGGAAGTTCATTTGTCCCGAAATTGACGAGCGCTTTTTATCAGTGTTTTTTTTTCTTTTATTTGCTCAAATTTCTATTCCTCCTGCAGTTCATCAAAGATGCAATTCCTCGCTGTTCTCTTGTTTGTATTGCCTTGTGCTCTAGCCAAGAACATTTGCTGTGTACCCGACAAAATGAGTGGATTTGCCTACAACTCTTACAATGGAGTGAGTATTATTGATAGCCAAAGCGATCTTAAACGTTTTGGCGAATGCTAAGATATAGGAGAGAGGGGGGACAGACAGACAGAAACACAGATTTAGGGCGGGACATGCACATGCATAAACACACATAGAGAGAGGGGGGGAGAGAGAGAGAGAGAGAGAGAGAGAGAGAGAGAGAGAGAGAGAGAGAGAGGAAGAACTGCATTAATTGGTGGAGGAAAGTGGATGAGTAACACAGCTAATGACATAGACAGAAAGAAGAAAGAAAGAAAGAAAGAAAGAAAGAAAGAAAGAAAGAAAAAAAGAAAGAAAGAAAGAAAGAATGGGGACACACATAGCTAATTAGACAGCTTGCTGGCTAGACAGATGGATTGAGGAAAAGTAACGGCACGATGTACTATTACGATCCACCCCACACCCCCCCCCAACCCCCATACCCAATTAATAATATTATTGTCTTTTTCAACAGATTTCCAGCATATATAAAATTGACTTCACAGCCAAAAAACATCTCGCCGTATCTCTAGCTTCTTTCTTCAACCCAAACGCCTTCACATTGGTGGACTTTGGTAACGGCACGATGTACTATTACGACGGACAAACATGCACGTGAGTTTTACTTTAGATGGAAGAATAGTTTTGGGTGGTAAGCGGGTGCTCTGGTGTGGTCTGCTCCTTCTTTTCTATCAAACATCTATCGTCCTTATCTCTCCTCCCTTCTTTTTTGTGTTTGTTACTGTCTTGTTTTAACTCGTTTAATCTGTGTTGCAAGTGCCGCAAAACTCTCACTAAAACTGAGGTACCGTAGAATTGTTTTATTTCTAGTTTCTGTTTCTGTTTTGTTTTATAGTACTTATTATGTAGTCTCAAGGGTTGAGGACAATCAAAATATCAATTGAAAAATAAGAAAAGAAAAGACAATTTAGAATCTAGATTGAGGTACGTTTTATTGGTTCTCCACTGAAACAAATTATCAATGTTTAGCTACTTCCTGGGAAACGAAATATTACTTATTAATTATTACATGATCTTTTTCACTCTTTCTCTTTCATTCTCTCTCTTTTCTCTCTTTCTCTCTTTCGCTTTCTCTATTATTCTCTCTCTCTCTCTCTTTCTCTCTCTCTCTCTCTCTCTCTCTCTCTATCTCTCTCTCTCTCTCTGTCTGTCTGTCTCTCCCTCTTTCCCTGTCTTACATCAAATCTTGTATTCCAGAAAACAGTCCCTAGCTTATCCCGAAATATACCAGCAATGTATTCCTGAGAATGCTACCCTCGTGTCCGAAGCCAACCTAGGACCTGCTGTCGGTGGATTCCCCTACAAGGCTTACAGATTTTCCGTAAGCTTCAATGAATTCACATCACCTTGTGTTTCCTTTACTTTATTTTTACTCTCCTATGCTACCTCGAGGCGACAGAAAGTACGTAAATATTAATTTAGGACATTTCGCTACCTTAGAATTGTCATGTAACGTTTTGTCTGCTCAGTACCTAGTTTTGAGAAATTTGACGTAAAAAAAATAATTTGAATTTCACAACAGGTCAAGCTTTTTCGAATGCTCTTCTTTGAATATCTAGAATGCGACTCCACGTAATTTTACTATTTTACTATTTTGAAAGAGGAGACAGAACTTTTGGTTGCAGATCTCATGGTCTTTGTAACTCAAAAATGTCAGATAGAACTTTGTAATTCTAAAGTAGCGATTAGCTGAGTTTTTACCCCCGCTAGTTTGGGCGTTTAACGAGTTGTGTGGGATACTACACCATCCCAGAACAAAGACATAATATATGTTCACATGTTCTGTTTATTAGTTTCATGCCATGTCCCTCGACCTTCCTTTAAAAAACTTACAAAAATATGCCTGGACCACCATCTCGTGATTCCCGACAGGTAAATCACTTTAATACCATACAATTCAGTTATTCCTTCTCCTAGTTTTAGTTTTGGTAGAGGTTTTACGGCGTTCGCAACTGCATAAGGTCATATGAGCGCCAGAAGATTAGAGGTGTTACAAGAGAGTAACAGAAGAAGCAAACCACACCAGAGCACCCGCCAACCACCCACATTCTTTCTCCGTTGGTTTGGAAAATAAATGACTACACATAACATTTTGTTCTGTGACATCGTGGTAAAATAAATCAATCGCTCATAAAAATAATGAAACCGATGAAAATGACATGTTTTCCCCGCCCGTTGGGCAATTTTTATCAGTTTTCGTTTTTGGCTCAACATCTTTTAGGTCCGTTAATAACACTTTTGGGTGTGAATTTACCTAAAAAGCTTTGATCACAGTCACAAAAAAATGTAATTTGTACAGTTTTAAAGCTTTGGAAGTCAGCAAAATTTAGCTGTATTTTCTCGCTAATTTTACCCCTGACACGTGGCGACCCTTTTTTTTTTTTGAGGGGGGGGGGGTTAAAGCAAGATAAATGGCTGTGGCACATATGAAGGTGGTTGCACGTGCAGTCCACTCGCGTCATTAAGATTTATACACTGGTGCGCCAAGTCACGACTATGGCTTTGGTCTTTTTTTTTGCGGCGAAAGATCTAGCAGTCAGTCAAGGACTAAGGCATAATCATGACAATAAATAGTATCCTAAATCGCGCATAGCCACTCTTCGCTTGCCTTTTTTTTTTTAAAGGCAGAAGAAAAGAAAAAACTTCACTGCAAACCGTGCGCACCACGGGCTCCCATATGAAAAGGAAAAAAACCATCAGCCTCACTCTAGCTGTAATGCGGTCAAAAAGTCGTGGCGCAGCTTATCCTCAAATATCTTTTTCTTTTTTTTTTTTGTTAGTGTTTTATGGCGCTCGCTATTGCATAATAAGGTCATATCATCACATGGGACACATTGAGTATTTTCAGTTTGGTAGGAATTAATTTTGAATTTTGCCCGGATGGCGGCCGAAACCTACTCTTATCGATTTCAGGGCTGTCAATGGATCTTTAACGTGCGCGACTTGAACACGGGATCTCCAGGAATGTTTAGCCCATATCCGAGATGGTTAGATGTTCGATGCTACTTACCCTAATGTCAGGGGTGCGGCTGAAAGACGACAGTAAGAATAGGCCAAGGAATTTTAGTAGAAAAGCTGCAGAGAGAGTTAGGATCCCAAAGGAGGGGCCAAAAAAGGGGGGGGGGAGACGAAATCAGGCGACAGAGCAGGGTTAGAGATCAGGAAAGAAAATTAAAAGAAAAAAAATTTAGAGAAGAAAATTTTCCGTCGTTGTCAGGTTTCGAACCCGGGACCTATTGAATGAGAGACAATTACCACTGACATTGTCAAAACGAGGTGTTGGGTTTGCCTTGTTAGCCATTGATGGCTTCGACGGCTACCTCGATTGCTGTGGTTTATAAAATTGAATGAAGCCAGCCAGTATGGTATACAAGAAACGATAATAAATTTCACGTCTTCTGCATAATAAAGTGACGAAAAGCCTAACCGTTCCACCCCTGACTCCGGTTGCCCGAGACGTATGCCCCGTCTATACCGCCAATTTCACAAGTGCGGCTGACTGGTTTGAGACTACTAATTGTCAGGACCAACCGGTGTGGTTCATGGAGAAAAATCCCAAATGTACAAAACAAACTCAAAATATTTTTATGACTTGCTTGTGGCACGTACCCAATATCCTACATACAAAGATGCAGAATGTATTGTCAGTTTAATCAATGTATTTACGGTTTAAACTTCAGCTAGGCCTGACATCTTAAACTTTAGGATTAGGAGGTCTTCTTAGGGCAAAATCAAAATTTTGAGAAAACCTGCCCCATTGAGCATAGGTAACAAAATTAAGCACCTGGGATTGATCTAGATCTATATCATAGGCCTATATTCTGATAATGGTTGTCCTTCAACAGGGTAGATACCTTCTCAAAACTACATGTACCGAGCAGTTGCAACCTATTAGCCACACACTCTGAGACTTTCACAAGTCTTTAAACGTCTGTATTTTGGTATGTCTTGTGGTCATAAAAACCACGCCCGTTAACGTATAGAACTAGTGTTTTAAAAAAACAGCAACAAAGAATTATCGTGGAATGACGGTTAGCGCAAAAACGTGAGACCACGGCCAATTACATCGTTGACATATCACCATCCTAGAATTACAATGTTCTCTATGTTCAGTAACTAGTTTTGAGAAATCTGACGCTGAAAATGTTGAGTTTCACAATATGTCAAGCTTTTTCGAATGGAACTCTATGAATATCCTAATAAAACTCCGAATAATCTTACAATTTTGATAGAGCAGATAGAACATTTGATTTCGAACGTCATGGTCTTCAAAACTAAAAAAAAAGGCCAAAAATGTTTGAGAGTACTTTATAATTCAAAGGCAGCGATATTACTGGAACCTCTAGCATGTAATTGTATCTTTTCCCTGCAGGTTGGCCCAAACACCATCGAGATGGCCGTGTCCTCAAACTGCCTGCCTCTTATAACCAGACTGTCAGGACCTGCTTTACTTCATACGCGCACCAGCATCTACATCAACATCACAACACCAGCTACTATCGACTTCCCTAGCTACGACCTTTCCAAGTGCAAGCATGACTCTGTCATTGTCGGTTAATCCCGTGTAATGTCTAGAAACGATTAACTTTGACCTGATATGGTGAATAAAATGTAGATGCCATTATTACAAGACAAATAACAAATGCGTGAATAAAATAGAAGCAGATTAACAACTATAGTTACTTACTCTTTCGAATCGTTGCTAGATGTTCGTGTTTCTTATGTGAAAGATTCGAGACCAATCTAATGTTCAAATAGTCTAATATATATTGTATTTGTGGAAGTTTGTCACTTTGGTAGCCTACAGCTTCTGAACCACTTAACTTTCGAATTTGAACAAATTAACGATGGTTCAGAATATTTTACAGGGTGCACAGTAATAATATCAAGGAGTCTGAAGTCCCTGTAGTTTAATTTTCAGGTTTTCATTAGTTTCGTTTAGATCTAATCTTGGGAAAGTCCGTCCTCTAAGACATCATTGTAAACATGTGAGGATTTCGTTCACAAGCAGTGCGTACTGCTCCAACGATGACTTGGCGATCGATTCTTTTGAGTCCGTTCATGGAAGGGGTACCCAGCTAGTAGTTAATAACTGTGATGTCTTTTCTTTCCCCGTCAACAAAATCTGACAATAATTTAGAAAGCGGCCCGCTTCAATTCTGCCTTCCATGGACAACATGGACAAAGTGGGAAACAGCATCCCTTGATAAATATATGTACAGAGATATTTTGTTTTTTTTTAAAACAGGCTCCTTTTAAGCTGTAAGGGGTGTGTTGCTAGCAAAAGTGGGGGTGCTAAGTTGAATAGACTTCCACTTAAGGGGAAGTAGGGATTTCTTAGTCAATAGCATGGCATCTGCCATTTATCTGTGGGTCCAACCTCCGGCACCTTGTGGAGCCATGCGTACTCCCAACCTATTGTTATAACCTCCACTACCCCCCCCCCCCCAATCCCATCCCCAACCTTCATGTACAACAAAACTGGAGGTACCCCATCGCACAGGGTGAGCGCCTTGTTGACTGTGCCGAGGGAAACAGGGTACTAGGTGGTAGAGGTGAGATCAGTCTGTGGACTGTCCCACACCAACACACCTCTTTGGCCTACGTTTTCCTCTTATATGGGAGGATGGCACGCCCATGCCACTCAATCGGCAGGGCGCTGAAACCACTTCTTTGTGTCTTAGAATCGATCTTGACGGTATCTCCGAAGCACACTTTCAACATCCTAGTCTCCCTCCCCTTTTCTTCTTCCTCCCCACGCCCCACCCTCTCATGAAATGGGAGGTACCCCCTCTTCCCACACCCTCTTCTCAGCCCTCTCGGTCTGTTCCACCTTCCCCTACCCCCACCCCCACCCCCAGCAGATATCCCCTTTTATGGAGGATGACACTTTTTTAAATACACATAGAAGCATTTGGGGAGATAAGCCAACTGGTATTTTTTTTTAATCGAAGACGTTTTACATCAACAAAATATCTGCTTTCAAATAATACCCCCCCCCCTCCCCCAATTACCGAAACAGACCCACGTTTAACACATCTTCCCTTGACCTTGCCTTCTGCTTCTCTGACCTTGTCCCAGATTATACGTCGTGGTCCGTTGCTGATGACCGTACGGACTATTTCTCAATTCTTCTTTTAAAAAAGACAATAGCCTGTAATGCGACCCTGTCCAAGAACTCTTCAACTTCACAATGCACACTGGTACGGATTCAGTATTGAGTATTCCCAAATTTTGAACCCGACTGGTGACCTCAACTGCAAAAAAAATTCAGGAAATGCTTTTAAAAATATGTCCAAAATACATTTTAAAAACGTCTCCAAAAACCCCGGAATATAAGGTTTGTTTCTCTGGGGAGTGTGATAATGCCGTAAAGAAAAAGAAGGCTGTCGACAACAATACTACAGAAAACTTATTTTATAACCAAATAGCTCTCACAAATTAACAGTCAGACACCCATCATCAGTTTTTATAGTAGTTTTTTTAAAGTTTTTAGGAAGGCTCAGAGACACCATTCGGCACGTTGAGAGGCCAGATGGCACCACAGCAGAAGCACCCATAGACATTGCAAACACAATAGCTATAGCTATATCTATCTCGAAAAATTCATCCAAACAAACTGCAAAAACACCTTCAAAAACATCAAACAACCGAGAACAACAACATTTAAACTTCAAATCAAACAACACGGAAACCTGCAGTTCAGACTTTATAGTATAAGAACTCACATCATGCATCGCGGACATGAGGCTACAGCGCCGGGTCCAGAAGACATACACAATAAGATCATCACACATTTACCCGCTGAGACTCTCAAACTTTTTAAACGCATGCAACGACATATGGCAGTCGCACACTTTCCCCGGTTCTTGACGACTTTTCACTGTCATTCCTATTCAAAAACCAGGTGAAACACACACACACACACACACACACACACACACACACACACACATCCAACTATACACCAGTCACCTTGTAAATAAAATTCAACAAACGACTCATTTGGTTTCTCGAGACGATATTATGCTCGCTTAAAGTCTCCAATGTAGATTCAGGAAAATTTGATCTTTTCTGGATCACCTTATACGCCTGGAGACTCTTTATACGCAGTGCACTTCTGCCGATCCGGCAGGCGTGTACTGCAGCCTGATTTGACCTTTCACGCGAATTGGATTCCCGCCAAGGACCAGGCTCATCTCCTCGGAATAATGTTTGGCCGAAAACCAACTCTTGTCCCTCAAATTAAAGACCCCCATGTGAGTCCAGACACTTTCTCCACCTTCACTATTATCTTGTTCGATCCAGGCTTGACTACGGCTGTTAAATATGGATCGGCAAGACCCCATATCTTAAAAATTCTAGATCCCTTACTGAACCATCGCCTCCACCTCGCCCTGGGGGATTTCCACACATCTCTTGCGGAGAGCCTTAAGGTCGAGGCGAGCACACCATACTTCAAACATAGACGAAAACAACTGTCACTACGCTAGGCAATAAAACAGAGCTCAACATCAGACAACCGAGTGCACAACTGCAATTCAAAACTAATTCAGACATTCAGGCAGTAAAACTCTTACCGATTTAAGGAGACTCCATTTCGAGGCTTCCATTTTTTCTGCTGAGGGCATGGGCATCCAGATGGCATTGGACCCAGTCTGGGGGAGACTCATTGGAAGAATCAAACCAACAACAGACTACACAACATTAAGCCCAAACTGGATCCACGAAAACCTTCGGGCCTCTCCAGAAGAGATGAAGTCATTTTTACTCGATTAAGCATCGGACACACGGGCCTGACACATAAATACCTCCTTCAGTGAGATGAGAAGCCGTTCTGTGTCGGATACGACACAGATTTTACCATTATACACATTTTTACAAAATGTTAAGGCTTCGGAGAGACTCGAAGGAAATATTATAAAGCAAAAAATTGCAAGGTCCTTTTTTTCGTCATTGATCCTAACAGAATCCTTGATTTTATAAAGGCCTTTGGCCTTCACGGAAAATTATAAATACAGTTATTTTGATTTTAAACAGGTTATCATTTTTAGATTGTTATTTTACCTCAAATTTTTAACATTTTAAATTCTGATCGTTGACCCGAGCAAAGCGTGCAGTGAACAGTAAACAGTTGTGAATGCAACCAACTTGTGTTTCTCGCGCTCATATGAACGTATGCAGTTGCGAACGGCGAAAAACTCTTATTGAAACTAACCTGGCATTGGACTCCATAGAAAATTCCCCCACGTCAGGCTTTCTGGTTCTGTCCGATTCCTTGTCTTCCCTCACTTCACACACTAGTTTCACACTCTTAAGCACTAAAATAGATTAGTTAGCAGTAGAGGATTTATTCCTTGATTGGAAAGTGGAAACGTATCGTATTTGCATGGCTCCGTAGCAATGTAGACACCCGAGGAAACGAGCAGGTTGATCTTCTGGTCCTTCTTGAAACTTTAAAATTGTAGAGCCGAAAGCTTTAACACCTCTTGTCTGTGGGGGGAGGGGGGGGAATGGAGCAAACAAACAAAAAACCTACGCAGTATCATGTTCAAATTGGAGCCACTAATATATTCGAGTCTCTTTAGAAGAGTCGAACTTATTATAACATAACTGTGTTTTGGATATACCTCCCTAAAGTATAGATATCTCTCTTCAGGGGGAAGAAAACCCATGTTGTATCGAATACGATGCTGAATTCACAATTTTTAAAAATACCTTAATAAAATGTCCAGACCTTGTAGAGATCCGAGGGAGGTATTTTAAATTTACGGAATAAATAAGAAAAAATGTTCTCCATCGTTCACCAAACAGAATTTTCAAGGGCTCTTGTGGACTAGAGGTTAAGGTGTTCACCTCTCTTTCAAAGGTCCCGGGTTCGAATCAGGGTAGCGACGGAAAAATTTTCTTCTCTAAAATTGTCTTCCTTCACCTCCTTTCCTGCTCTCTAGCAATCTAGGTGGTAGAGGTGAGATCAGTCTGTGGACTGTCCCAC